CATTCTCATCTCTGCTTGTCTGTGTCCTTGTGTGTGTGTGGTGCAGTGACGTTCCTCGCCAACCTCTCCCTCGTCCCCCAGCACACGTGCTGGAAGTGTCCTGCCGACCTCCTGTCCATCGCCATCGAGGGCATCGAGGCCTTCCGTGCACGATGCCAAGAGCATCACAAGAGGACGCGGGATGACCGTATCAAGCGCAAGTCACGCAAGAAGCAGCGCAAGCAGGTCCTCAAGGACAAGGCGGCTGAGCTCAAGGTTCGTTGTCAACACAACTACTGATGGACCTTATCTGGAATGACTCTTCGTGTTGTGTGTGTGTGTGTAGGAGGCCTGCGGCGACGACAAGGAGGCATTCGAGGCCAAGTGGAAGGAGTACCAGGCGGAGAACAAGGCCCTGGTCGAGGAGAGGGTGGCAGGCGAGCAAGAGGCGGCGAAGCAGACGCGCGTTGCCAAGCGTGCGGCTGAGAAGGAGCGGCTGAAGGAGAGCCTCGACAAGGACGACCACACTCGCCAGCTGCTCGACACGGTGGCCAAGATGTTCGCTGAGCAGCTGGGAAAGGACCTGGAGGCGATGAAGCAGAAGAAGACGGTCAACTACGCTGCGGTAAGACAACACAGCACACCACCAACCCCCTTGCACCGAGGCCCCCCTTCACTCCTGTCATGCTATGCTTGTGCGCTGTCTGTCTGTCTGTCTGTCTGTGCAGAAGTGGGCTCCCTCCCTCAATGGGTATCACGACAACATCACCCAGCTGGCCGGCGCCATCGCAGCCGAGCTCTACGCAGACCGCACCGACCTGACGCCCCAGCAGAAGAAGGACCTCTACCGCAAGGAGTTCCTCAGCCCCCTGCGGGCCTACACCGACGTCCCTGAGGTCTTCATGTCGGCCAACAAGTGGGATCAACTGCCCTACGAGCGTGTGCCGTCCCGCTGTATGAAGCTGAACAAGAAGGCGTTCGTCAAGCACGACGGTGAGCGGTTCGCGGCCTTCCTCGAGAAGGTCGTCAAGGGCGAGAAGAAGATCGCGGCCGGTGCAGTGTTGCCTCACGAGCTGCTCAAGCCCTTCATGAACACCTACTTCAGCCGCCAGGAGGACAACCAGTCGGAGGCCGAGAAGCAGACCAACGAGTTGCAGTGGAACAGATTGGTGGCCGACCTCATGGCCAAGGGCGGCGGCTGCCCCCTCAAGAACAACGTGGCCGTCTGTGACGTCTCGGGGTCGATGACCGGCGAGCCCATGGAGGTCGCCATCGCACTGTAAGCCACCACACACACAGACGACAAGACACAATGCATCATGCTCATCAAGTGTGTGTCTTTCCTCTGTGTCTGTCTGTCTCTGGTCGATTGATCAGGTCGCTGATCACTGCCCAAGTCAGTGATGAGCCCTGGGGCAACACCATCATCACCTTCAGCCAGAGACCCACGTTCTTCTCCATCGACCCACAGCAGACGCTCGAGCAGAAGGTGCAGGCCATCCAGCGCATGGAGTGGGGCATGAACACCGACCTGCAGGCCGTCTTCGACCAGATACTCGCCAGGGCCAAGGAGTTCAGCGTCCAGCCGGACGACATGCCGCAGCAGCTCTTCATCTTCTCCGACATGGAGTTCGACTGCGCCACCGGTCAGAGTCACGGCCGCAAGAAGACCGACTTCAACCTCATCCAGGACAAGTACGCCGAGGCGGGATACCCCATGCCGCACATCATCTTCTGTAAGCCCTCCCCTCCCCCCGTCAAACACACACACGACGCCCTTTATCATCCCCTGGCGCTCTCTCTCTCTCTGTCTGTGTGTGCAGGGAATTTGCGTGCGAGCGGGAGCAAGCCCACTGTGGCGTGCGAGGAGGGCGTGGCGCTGCTTAGCGGCTTCAGCAGCAACCTGCTGACGGCCTTCATGAGCGGCGAGCTGGAGCAGTTCACGCCTCAGTCAGTCATGATGGACATGCTCAACAAGGACACCTACAACGGCCTCAAGGTCATCGACTAACTCAAGAGGGCTGGGAGGGCTGGGTGAGAGGGGAGGGAGGGGACATTGCATGTGTGTGTGACATGAGCGGCGTGGGGGACCCAATGACCAGTGAGTGGCCCTCGCGCGTTTTTCCCGTCAAGTCAAGTGCATTGGTGTGCGCCGTGCCCACGAATTGGGGACGTGACCGACACAGACAGCACAGAGGGAGAGTGGCTGTGGGTTTGTGGGTGGGTGGGGAAGGGCATAGTGTTGCTACGTAGGTTGTTTGTCCGAGTGTGTGTGTATGCGTGTGTATATGTGAGTGAGTGCTGGGCTGCCCGTCTGCAGGTGTGACTGTCTGTAACTGAATGCATCCCTAGGTCCGTCAGTCAGTCAGGTGTGAATGTGTCAAGGAAGGTCTGTCTGTGGTGTTGTGTGTGGTTCGTATGGCCTGCCTATGTAATTTTGTGTCAATTACTGATGTGATCGATGACTGACTGACTGACTGACATACTGACACCTATGCCAGCCAGGTGTGCATGTGTGTACCAGCTGGACATGATGAATGACTGATGAATGAATGAATGCAATGTGAGTACGTCAATGTCCCTCTTATGACAGCCCTCGCACACACACACACAGACAGACAGACAAGGCCCTGCCGACATGGATGCACTCCGCCGTCTTGACCACCGGACATTTCTTCTTCGGCCTCCTCCTTCGTGCCTCACTTGCTATATGTCGTCGGTCTTTGTAGGCCGCAGCAGCTTACAGCATTTGCTACGCAGCTACCTCTTCGGCATACCATAGCAACTCTAACATACATGGTCAAAACGCTGCCTACCTGCCTGTACGTCTGCGTGAGGCCCTAGCCATCACACACACGCAGCCAGGCCAAAGACAGGCAGCCACGCTAGTTGAGGGATGTCTGTTTTGGTGTGGGCTGGGCTGTTAGGCAGGGAGGCAGGGAGGGAGGGAGGGAGGGAGGAAAGCACGTGTCCGCACGCTTGTTTGGTGACTCCGTGAAGTCGTGAACGTGTTAATGAATGTGTGTCATGTCGCTCGCTGTATTTGTCGCTTAATGAAGATGTCTGACTCGTATGAACCTAACGCTGTGGAGGTGAGTGAGTGATGCTATCTATTCATCAATCATCCATTGCCCAATAAAACGTCCATTACCACGCAAGCGCAAGGCATGCATGCCCCCAACAAGACATGACATATAGTGCGTCGGTTTCCTTCCATGCAGGCAGACTGGGAGATAAAGGTCTTCATACACCCTGACTGTACATCTATCTACACACCACACATGAAGAAGAATGGATGGATAAAAGAGCGAATCGATCAGGGCAGAGGCATTGTGTCCCCCTCCGCCGTCACACGTCGAGCTTTCGAAACACCACAGTGCTCCTCTCCCGTTCATCCGTCTGGCAGGCAGGCCTCAGAACCATCACCGCTCACTCAGCCGCTGCCAGTCGACTTGCCACCTGAAGCCTGAAACGAGTTGCCTTCATTCATCTGTGTGTGCCAGGCTTCCTCCCGCTGCGCCCCCCTTTGTCTAATCCAGATAGATATCTGCCTGACCTGCTGCAGCGCGTAGACCTCCATATCCGCACACGTGAGCAAGCGAGCAGCAGCCAAAGTCGCCCATCGGTCGTCGGTGAAGCTGCCCACATCCACATATGTCTTGCCGGCGGGCAGCTCGGCCCTCCGCACATACTGATAGCAGCATCGCAGGTCGCCGGCCGGACGGCCATCCTGCCCCCCAAACCCCAGCCACAGGCGGCCGTGACCGATGCACACATTGCCGACATTAATGCCGTTGGCGGCCTTGATCGCCCCTTGTGTGCCGGCGACCTCCACCCGCCGGTGGATGTGCGGCACTGTTATCTCGACGATGCCCCCATCCTCAGCAAATGCGCCAGACACCGAGTACAAGGCAACAGGGCAGCGAGTCGTCTGCACTCCAGCGGCGTCAGCCGGCTGCTTGAGCGTTCCGTTGATGTGACAGGCGATGACGTGGTTAGCAACGTCCTTGATGACCAGCAGCAGATTGCTCGCTGTGCCCACCTTGGCCACCATGGTGGGGTACATCCAGCCGTCACGCTCACCCCTGAGACACACACACACGCAAAAGGGAGAAAGAGAGCGAATCAGTGAGTCGGCCGTCTGTCAGTGGTTTATCCCCACTTGTAGAGCGGCCGCCCCGTGGCAGTAGTATTGCCCGTCATGTTGATGAGCTCCTGCAGCTGAGCACCAGACAGAATGGGGTCGGCTGCGCGAGTGGTCCACACCTGCACCCAGACAGCCACACAGATACCAAACAGACACATCTCACACACACATTCACGTCAGCCCCTCCCGTTGATGTCTGTTCAGACTGACCTGGTACACCTCCAGCCGCTGAGCAGTGAAGGTCTGGCTGCCGGCCAAGGTGGCGTCTCCGTCGTCGGTGAAGCTGCCCACGTATGTCTTGCCGGTGGGCAGGTCGTCTTTGTTCACCCACTGCCTGCAGCTGCGAATGTCGTCGATTGGACGACCATCCTGCCCCCAACCCAGCCACAGGCGGCCACCACCAATTGCGACGTAGCCGCCACCGCCCCTTTCACACTTAACCACCCCCTCTGCACCGGTGATCGTCATGTACTGCCGGTCGTGTGGCACTGCGATTTTGACGATGCCGTCGTCCTCGCTAAACGCACCAGTGATGGAGTAGAAGGTAATGACGCGGCCGGTGAAGACCTCTGCTGTGGGGTCGGTTGGGGCGATGAGGGGCCCATCAATGTGGCACGCGAAGGCGTGAGGCCGGTCCTCACTAGTCTCACACTCGGGCTGGATGACGAACAGCAGCCCGCCGTCCGCACCTCCCACCTGCTTGAATAGAGCCTCGTGGTGGGACCCGCCGTGCATAAAATCCCTGACGCACGCAGACACACAGAAGGGAGGGAGGTTGCCTGTTGTGTGTTCTCATTCTCTCTCCGCTGTGAGGGCTCACCTGAAAAGGCAGCGTATGTGGCTGTGTGATTTGCCGATCATGGAGAGGTACACCAGCTCCATGAGGTCGTACATCTCGAGTGTCCTCAGCAGCTGCGGCCAGTCGTCGGTGATGGGGAGGGGCGGGACGGCATCGGGCGACAGCCGACGGCGGCGAACGAAATCCACCACCCTGAAAGAGAACCAAACCAGACCACGTACAGATGTCAAGGGTCGGCCTCACTAGCGTTGCCTTACTTGTCGAAGGTGGTCGTCGGCACCTGAGTGACGGGCGCCGCATACCTATGGGAGGGAGCGGCAAATCCAGTGATTACTGCGCCATGTCAGTTCTCCTTCTCTGCATGCCATGCCCCACTTGGTGAACCGGTCGTTGAATGTCCTGTGGTCGTCCAGCGTGGCGTCGGTGGTGGCCTCGGTGGTGCCATTCACACACACGCTCAGCACCTCACAGCCGCCCTGCCCACCCGCCGATGACTTGATGAACCCCCCGATGGCCTCCATGAAGCTGTGGAAGGCCTCACTGTCTTCATCTCCCTCATGCGCTTCGATGGTGAGTGCCGTCTTGGCCATGAATCGTTCGTGGTAGAAGGCGAAGGCGCTGCAGCCAGCATGGATCTCCGCCACGTCGATGTGATTGGTTATCAGGTAACGAAGCTTCCGAGCCAGCCTTATTCCACACAGACACACACACAGACAGGGAGCACTTAGCACTGATACATACATCGCTGCACATGCATGTTGATCTCTCTCACCAGATGAAGTAGAAGGGGTCTGCGTCGATGAAAGTGGCGCCGTCGGTGTCCTTGAGCAGCCACTCATCGAAGCGGTGCAGCAGCACCGCCAGGCGTGTGTCCTTGAGGCCATCGCGGAGAAGCACTTCACGAGGGAACGGCCTGACGCAGCCGCCAACGTTGAGCTCGAATGGCTTGTCTGCTTGTTTGCTTCTGCTGTTTGCCGCGCTCGTGGCGGTGACGAACGACATATTAGCGGTCATCCTGATAGAGATCTGACTGATTGATGACAGCTAATGACAGCCGGTCGGTGCTTGTCTGTACTTTGTCTGTCAAGGCTGAGTTGCTCTGCTTCTCTGTCTTCGGGGCGGATCGGGAGAGATGTCGAAGCTCGCAAAGCGACAAAACGTGCAATGGCAGGGGAGGGGGGTGCATATGTACGCAGCTGGACATCTGATGAATTACTGAATGAATGAATGAATGAATGCGATATGAGTCAGTGAATGGCCACACAGACACATACTCTGACGCTCCTCCCTCCCTCCCTCCCTACAGACCGAGCCGCACCCCTGCCCGACATGGATGCGCTCCGCCGTCTTGAGGCGTCACTGGACATTCACGACAGATACGCACGTCCCAACAAGACAACAAGAGGAGCATGTGTGTGTGTTTGTGTGTGTGTGTGTGTCAAGGAACCGTCCATCACCCACTCAAACAAGACCATGTGTGTGCACGGACTGACATTTCATCGCATATCTGTGTCATGTATGTCAAATAGCGACGGCAACGGCCTACAGGTATTCACGACTTATTCACAACTCGCCATGCACACAACGGACGAAGAAATCACTATTAACACCCCACTATGAATCAGTGTGTGTCGACCAGTCGTTGGAACTACCGTCGCACACGAAGCCGCATCTCCACCCAGAGATGTACCCCTCTACTTCTCGTGGCTGTCCGGGGAGGATTGGTGTCTGAGAGGACGTCTGGCATGATCAGTATCTTCTGTGTCGGCTGGCTTGGACTCGTCGGGCTTCTCGCTGGGGAAGACCCCTGATGGTCACACACACCACACACACACATTTGCATATGTCCGTGGCATTGTCGTGTGCAACGTACGTACGTACACTTTGATGGTGCCACCAGTCGCTTCACGATGAATGGATCATCCTTCTTCTTCCCCCTACGCGCACACACACGAGCACGCAGACGCACGCAGACTCTCGGACGCATACTCACGCTCCCTCCCTCCCTCCCTCCCTCCCTCGTCTGCGTACTCGTTGGCAAACTCTTGTTCGATGAGCTCAGTGGCCGACGCGCCCTCGTGGCCAATGAAGGTGACATCATCTGGGCTGTTGGCACCCTGCATGAGGCCTCCTTCATAGAGCACCCTCTGCATATCACCAACGCTGCGGAAACTGCCCGCCTTGATCCACTTGGTCATGTCGAAGCAGAGGGCACCGGTGTTGTGGTCGCCATACCTGAACTGGAAGTAGCGAACGTTGGCCGGGTCGACATGCACCTGTCTGGTTTCCCTTCCAGTCATATCGCTCCTGAGGGGAAACCGCTCTGGCGTCAAGCCCTTGATGGTGGACACCGACGAGAGATGAAGCGAAACGGCAGGGTAAACCGACGCGCGTAGATGCTTCTGGAGTGGTGGACGTCAGGGCTGAGAGGGCTGCCAGCCTGCCATTGACTACTCTCCGGCGGATCTGCCCATGCCCATCCGAGAGGTCGCACCGTCCCTGGCCTCCGATCCTGTTTGCGAGCTCGGCTCGCCAGAACCGTTTTACGTGTCCCAATCCCCCTCGCTTTCCGCGTGCAAAATCCCTCTCCTATCAGCGCCTGCAGAGCTTTCGTGTCGTCCCCTGTTGGCTTTCGTCTTCTGATAATATCGCTCCCAGTAATGTTTATGTTCGGCAGCTCATCGTCGCCTACCACCACGGCATGCGGTCCCCTCCCGCCCCATGCGCCGCACTGCCGTGCGTCACGGCCAGCAGCCCAACTCGAGCCGCAGTTACGCACGCCGCACAGGCATGAGAGCCGCGGCGAGTGCATCGTCAAACAGCGGCATCCCCACCACCAACAGCGCCAGCACGCCCACCACTGCCGCCAGTCCACCAGAGGCGCCTAGCAGCCCCGCCGCACCCATCGCCCGGACTCCCGAGCGCCCCGGCACTCCCGAGCCGCGGACACCCGAGGCGCCTCGCCGAAGGCGGCCTCTCCTCGAGTGTGTGGAGAGCGATGACGAGTCGGATAATGGGGAGGGGGGTGGGAGTGGGGAGCCGCCGAGGAAGCGGCTGAGGGTGTTGTGCGACATCGTAGAGGGGAGTTTGGTGGCCTGCGTGCATGCGGACGGCGGCTTCGCCCTCATCGAGGAGGAGTGGTGCGGCTTCCAAGATGTCCTGATGTTCCCTGAGGACGTGTCTGAGTGGGGGGTGGTGGGCGGGACGGTGCTCGATGAGGAGGGGTATGTGGTGCGGCTGCCCGAGGCCACCCTCAGCCACATGAGGGACCTCTACGGCACCGCCATGACGACGTGAGTCGACACCGAACGCCGACCGAACACATTGATAGTAAGCACACAGACACAGAGAGAGGGAGGGAGGGTGGGAGGCCATGGGAGGGGTGCATTCACCTACTTATTGTGTGTGTGTGTGTGTGTGTGTGGTCGATGTGGGTGCAGGTGCGTTGCACAAGTTCGGTCGGTGGGCGGTGTCGTCACGTCAGAGTTTGGAGTGACTAGTGGTATTCTGCTGGAGCGAGAGAGCGAGTCGGTCGAGGACATGCCGGCCGCCGAGTGTGTGGCAAGGAAGACACGATCATAGAGAAACACACAGACAGACCACTGCAGACAGAGATGGCGTCTGCATCCGCCTATGAGAGAACCCCACACGACGACTGTCCGCCGCGTGTACTGTCTTGTGGCTGGCTGGATGGCTGTCTGTATTTTTTGTCCACCGTGGGTGGCCTGTCTGTCTGTCTGTCTGTCTGTTGTCATTTGTGGAGTGTACTGCAGTGCGTCCATCGCACGTTTGGACTGTCCTGCATCCGTTTGTTCTGGCTGGCTGTTTGGCTGCAATGATGACTGACTGCCGGCTGGTGCTGATGAGGTTTGTGTGTGGCGGCAGAGGGCGAGTGTCGCTGCCGTGGATGCGTAGCGGTGTGTGCATCCCATTTGTGTGTGTGGGTGTGGTCTGGCTGGCGTGGGTCTGTTGTGTTGTGTTGTGTTGTGTTGTGTGAGAAGGGCCTCGTGTACCATAAGATAATGCGTGCTGCGTAGGTCTGGCCACCGCAAAAAAAAGACAAGAAAAGGAGGGGCCCATGGCCAGCTGTCTGGCCGTGGTGCCCTTCGAAAAGCTTTGTGTGATGACTGCATGCATGTGTCCCTTTCCCCCTTCAAAGCCTGGCTGATGACGGCTCTGCCCCTCACACTCACACGTGTCCCCATGGCTGGTGGGTGGGTTTCGTTTTCGCCGTCTGTCCCTCTCATTTCGTTTGCCTGGCCTGTGTGTGTGCATCATTGCATTCTTTAGTCATTTTTACTGTCATTTCTGACGTCATTTGGCAGCTAGGGTGCTGGGTCGGGTGCTCTCGGGCTGCCGAGCGGCCAGATCCAATAAGGTGGGAGTGTCTTTCTGAGGGCGTCAGCCACCTGTGTGTGTGTCGGGGTGAACAGAGAGGACAGCGAATGCCCCCAGAAGAAGGCAAAAAGAGAGCTCATTAGAAAGCACAGAGAGAGAGAGAGGTCCGGCAGAGGGCCGCCTACAAGAGACGAGCAAAGGCAACAGGCAGTCCACCGAGCCAGCAGGTCAGTCAGCACCTCACACCACAGCTAGCACTCCAAAGCTGAATGAGTATCTGTGTGTCTGTGTGTGTGGTTCGTGTGTGCTTCAGGTTGGTTGACTTTGCAGCGCTGACTGACCCACATCTCTCGCCGTATCAGGCAGCGGCAGCCCCGCCGCACTGCAGCAGCCTCGCCCTCGCCCTCAAGCACGGGCATGAGCAGCACGCCGAGAACAAGGAGAGAGGAGGACATCCTGGGGGCCGTCCTTAACAGACAGATGCGTGTGGCTCCTCATACAACATCTGCCGTTGGTTCGTCTGTCCGTCTCGCCTCGCACCCCAGCAACAAACCGGCACATGGGCGGGCGGCACTCATCATCTCTAGCGGCTACCTGCGCTCGGCATCGGCTGCCGAGCAGGCCCTCTCCCTCACCCACTGGCAGCCGCCCAACGAACGTGCCAGGAGGCGCCTCGCCCACCAACAACGGCAGCTGACACCCGCCGGACGCTTTCCAACAAGCCATCGTTGTCGACTGTCCACAGGGTGATTGGCTCGCATCGCATCGCAAGGCAGGCGGCTCGTGAGGAATGTCGACCGAAGAGGGTGTTTTCGGCGCTGGAGCGGGGCGACACGGTCGGCCACTCCGCCCGGTCGGGGCCGATTGACGAGGAGGGGGCGGGGCATGGCATGCTGACGGGGCGTGGTACTGTACGGCCAGAGTGGGGCTGGGCTGCTGTGTCGCGCGACGAGACGATGCTGTGCCCATCGACGAGGCCCCTGTCTCAGACCTACTTGGACACTTCCTCGGTAAGCCAGCCACCCAAACACACCAACCAACCGACACAAAGAGGTGACGTGACTTGATCCTGAATTCCCTTCAGGCTTTTTGTGCCAGGGTCATGACGTGAAGGTGGCCGAGGATGCCCTCCGCATCGAGCACCTGAGCTCACTCTTCCATTACACCACACTCAGGAGCCTTCGCGCCCTCCTGCTGGCCGGCCTCTGTGCGCCGCGCCGGCCCGCGTGGCGCCACCTACCAGCCCGACAGTGGCAAGGGCGGGCAAGGCACCCGCTCATTCCCGGAGAGGTGGTCCTCCGACGACCTGGAGCCGCAGGGCATGCAGCTCCCCCACTCTTGGTCTTTGCCCTACTCGGATTTCGCACACCAACCTTCGTGTGCTTGCTCTGCTGCTCCGGCTGTGGCCGCGTATTCTGTGGCGGTGCGACCCTGGAGCGGCACTCCCGCCGTCAGGCTTCCCCCCTCCCATCATCCACCATCGGCACTGCCGTCCCAGCGCCGTTTCCCTCGATCCACCCCTCTGCGCCACTGGCCCCCGCTGCACTGCACACCATCGGCAGGCTCTGATGCTGCCCTTCGTGCGTCGCTCAGAAGGTACATGAGGGAGCACTGGAGGCACCAGGCAATACCCACCGGTGGGCTTACGTGTGTGTCTCGTGTGTGTGCCTTGGCAGGTGGGCCATGTCAGTCAGTCGTCCGAGCCAGCCCACGATGGGCGGGGGAAGGCCGCTTCGGCCGTATCCCGTCCATCACGGATGGCTCAGGCGACGTGTGTGGTGTGGGAGGGAGGCGTAGTCGTATCGACGATCGTCTCGCCCACCCACACACACACATGCCCGCCCTTTGGTTGCCGAGAGTCGTGTGAAGCCCGACGCCCAACACAATGGATGTCACACTGGTGAGCTCCTCCAAAGAAACACAGCACCCTCAACACGCTGGATGTGTGTTGTGTTGTGTTGTGCTGTGCTGTGTTGTGTGTGTTCAGGTGGTTAAGAGTCTCTAGTCCTTCCCCTTTGTGTGAGCGGGGGAGGGAGGGAGGGAGGGAGGATCAGTGCGCCACACCACTGCCCATAAGGTAACCACACCACACACGAGAGGAAGACGTTCTTCACTCATGGGCTCATCGTGTGGCTTGTCTGTCTGTCTGTCTGTCTGTCTGTGACTGCAGTTTCGCGCATCAAGGCCGGCCTCTCACTCGGTGTCTGCCCCGCTCTCTCGTCAGTCTGCCCTTCGTCCGTGTCGCCGACAAACCCAGCCCGCCCAAGCTCTCTCTCTGTCTTGCATTCACTCACTCGCCACTGGCGTCGCGTCCCTCGACAACAGCCGAGTCCTCAATGGTTCGTTCAGCCACCCGACCTGACTGAGAGTGGGGGAGAGGGGGGCCTGTGAAGCAGAAGGGGCCGCGCGGCTGTTGTGTCTGCGTCTGAGTGCCACCACATGGCAGAGAGAGACAGAGTTGAGGGGGCGGTCCATCGAATCGGATCATGTCCGTCCCGTCAACCGCCCCAACGCCCCTTTGTTTGTGCGGCCAGCCACAACTGACTGCATCAATCAATATATGGCAATGTACAGTACCTACCTTTTCAGCAGTGTGGAGAGCTCTCTGTCTGTGTGGGTACGGTTGAGGGTGTATGTGTGCGTGGGGGGTTTGGGCGTTGGGTGTGTGGGCCGTGATGGGCGAGTTACATACTGAGCCGACCAGTGTGGCCATTTGCCTCCCTCCCTCCCTGTTTTTCGCAACTCACCTCATCTCATCTCATCTGTACGCTCCCACCACTTGTGTGCCCATGTCTTCTCTGTATCGTGCGTGCACGGGGTCTGACTGACTCGTTCATTGATTCATGGCAATGATTGCCTGTACGTGTACGTCAATGAATGACGTTTTTGGTCCCATTTGGCGCAGGTGATTTGACCGGTGCACACCACTGACTGACCTCTGTAGGTAGGAGGCTGTCGACTCCCACGCACAAACCACTCCATCCACACTGAGACTTGCAGGCAGCAGACAGTGATTGCGCACACCCCCCGCCCCCGTTTGTGTGTGCCGGGTCCATTTCCCAGTCCATTTCTTCTTTGCGCGTCCGGAAGGCATTGAAGCTGTCAGTTGTGCATGGTGGCCTTGGTAATACTGTGTATGAGGGTGGCCTCGAGGACCGTCACGTCGACCTATATCAACCTCTCAGCCGCGCTGCTCGGCGAGTTGGGCCGTTGGCCTCCTGTGTGTGGCGTTTGCGTATGTGTGGCTGCGTCAGGAGGTGGCTGTGCGGTTCGGGTTCAAGGGACAGTCAGCTGTGTTTCTGAGCCATCTTATGGATCATACGTACAGCTGTGTGTGTGTGGATGGTCAGTGCTCAGTGATTGAGGTCAGTGTACACCAGGGGCTTTCCCTGAACATGCACACACATCACACACCCGCACACGACTGTCTGGCTGCGTGAGGGGACGGACAGGAGTGCTCTCACCCCACAGGTCAGAGCAGCAGCGGCGCGGCTCACGGATCAGAGATGAAGGCGTGTCTCTCGTGTGTGCATGTGCTGTCCCTCGCCGCACATGGATAGTCCATGCCGTCCGTCACTGTTGTGTGTATCGATGTGCGCGTGTGTTTGTGTGTGGTGACAGTGACGATGCATGTGTGTGCCGACAAGCAGATGTTGGCTTCATGGAAAGGGTGATTATGGCCAAGAAGGCTATCTTTCGGCAGCAGCAATTCGGCTGCTTGGTCACAGGGCTGTCTTTTTGGATCAAGAGGCTGTCTTCACAACAAATTGAGCGGTCCTGTACAATTCCCGCTTATGTACACTATGTCTGTGGATGACTGGCTGAGGGCAGCAAAAACTACATAGGCAGGCCACACAAACCATACACCACACCATGCACGTCGAGACACATTCAGACCTGACTGACGGACCTATGGATGCAATCAGTTACAGACAGTCACACCTGCAGACGGCCAGCCCAGCACACACACACTCACACACACACACACACTCGGACAAACGACCTACGTAGCAACACTATGCCCTTCCCCACCCACCCACCCACCCACCCTCCCTCCCTCTCTGCTGTCTGTGTCGGTCACGTCCCCAATTCGTGGGCTCGGCGCACACCAATACGCTCGACTTGACGGAAAAAACACGCGGGGGCCACTCACCATTGGGTCCCCCACGCCGCTCATGTCACACACACATGCAATGTCCCCTCCCTCCCCTCTCAGCCCTCCCAGCCCTCTTGAGTTAGTCGATGACCTTGAGGCTGTTGTAGGTGTCCTTGTTGAGCATGTCCATCATGACTGACTGAGGCGTGAACTGCTCCAGCTCGCCGCTCATGAAGGCCGTCAGCAGGTTGCTGCTGAAGCCGCTAAGCAGCGCCACGCCCTCCTCGCACGCCACAGTGGGCTTGCTCCCGCTCGCACGCAAATTCCCTGCGCACAGAGAGAGAGAGAGAGAGAGAGCACCAGGGGATGATAAAGTGCGTCGTGTGTGTGTATGTGATGGGGGGAGGGGAGGGCTTACAGAAGATGATGTGCGGCATGGGGTATCCCGCCTCGGCGAACTTGTCCTGAATGAGGTTGAAGTCGGTCTTCTTGCGGCCGTGACTCTGACCGGTGGCGCAGTCGAACTCCATGTCGGAGAAGATGAAGAGCTGCTGCGGCATGTCGTCCGGCTGGACGCTGAACTCCTTGGCCCTGGCGAGTATCTGGTCGAAGACGGCCTGCAGGTCGGTGTTCGCGCCCCACTCCATGCGCTGAATGGCCTGCACCTTCTGCTCGAGCGTCTGCTGTGGGTCGATGGAGAAGAACGTGGGCCTCTGGCTGAAGGTGATGATGGTGTTGCCCCAGGGCTCATCACTGACTTGGGCAGTGATCAGCGACCTGATCAATCGACCAGACACAGACAGACACACACTTGATGAGCATGATGCATTGTGTCTTGTCGTCTGTGTGTGTGGTGGCTTACAGTGCGATGGCGACCTCCATGGGCTCGCCGGTCATCGACCCTGAGACGTCACAGACGGCCACGTTGTTCTTGAGGGGGCAGCCGCCACCCTTGGCCATGAGGTCGGCCACCAGGCGGTTCCACTGCAGCTCGTTGGTCTGCTTCTCGGCCTCCGACTGGTCGTCCTCCTGGCGGCTGAAGTAGGTGTTCATGAAGGGCTTGAGCAGCTCGTGAGGCAGCACTGCACCGGCAGCGATCTTCTTCTCGCCCTTGACGACCTTCTCGAGGAAGGCCGCGAACCGCTCACCGTCGTGCTTGACAAACGCCTTCTTGTTCAGCTTCATGCAGCGGGACGGCACACGCTCATAGGGCAAGAGATCCCACTTGTCGGCCGACATGAAGACCTCAGGGACGTCGGTGTAGGCCCGCAGGGGGCTGAGGAACTCCTTGCGGTAGAGGTCCTTCTTCTGCTGGAGGGTCAGGTCGGTGCGGTCTGCGTAGAGCTCGGCCGCGATGGCGCCGGCCAGCTGGGTGATGTTGTCGTGATACCCATTGAGGGAGGGAGCCCACTTCTGCACAGACACACAGACAGACAGACAGACAGACAGACAGCACACACGCATAGCATGACAGGAGTGAAGGGGGGCCTCGGTGTAAGGGGGTTGGTGGTGTGCTGTGTTGTCTTACCGCAGCGTAGTTGACCGTCTTCTTCTGCTTCATCGCCTCCAGGTCCTTTCCCAGCTGCTCAGCGAACATCTTGGCCACCGTGTCGAGCAGCTGGCGAGTGTGGTCGTCCTTGTCGAGGCTCTCCTTCAGCCGCTCCTTCTCAGCCGCACGCTTGGCGACGCGCGTCTGCTTTGCCGCCTCTTGCTCGCCCGCCACCCTCTCCTCGACCAGGGCCTTGTTCTCCGCCTGGTACTCCTTCCACTTGGCCTCGAATGCCTCCTTGTCGTCGCCGCAGGCCTCCTGCACACACACACACACCACGAAGAGTCATTCCAGATAAGGTCCATCAGTGGTTGTGTTGACAACGAACCTTGAGCTCAGCCGCCTTGTCCTTGAGGACCTGCTTGCGCTGCTTCTTGCGTGACTTGCGCTTGATGCGGTCATCCCGCGTCCTCTTGTGATGCTCTTGGCATCGTGCCCGGAAGGCCTCGATGCCCTCGATGGCGATGGACAGGAGGTCGGCAGGACACTTCCAGCATGTGTGCTGGGCGACGAGGGAGAGGTTGGCGAGGAACGTCACTGCACCACACACACACAAGGACACAGACAAGCAGAGATGAGAATGCTGTGGTGGACAAGCCGTTCTGTCTACGCACATCCCCTTTCCTCCCCGCTGTGTGCCCCGCCTTACGTGGATGGTGCACTCGCAGCCAGTCGAGCGACTCGTAGAAGTTGGCTCTATCTGCCTTGCCGTCCTTGACGTTCCCCAGGTGGAAGATGGCACGCAGCGTGAGCTGCGCATCGGCTTCGTAGGCAGCCTTGAGCAGCTCCTGGAGGGTGTCGGGCGAGCAGCGAGGCACCACCTCGAAGAAGAAGTCCACGACCGCGTTGTGGGTGGTGGAGAAGGTGAAGGCCTTGTTCTCGGTCAGTGCATCCGGCTCATGCACCGCCATCTTGCCACCAGCCGAATCAGTCATCGAAACGTCCGCCATGTTTGACAAAGAATGAGGAAAAACAGAAAACTGTCGAGTAGTTCTCCTATTTGTCGACGACAGGAAAGCGGCAGAGTTTGCTGTCTGTCGCGACAGAAACGGAGAGCAGCTCGCATGACGACAAAACGGAGCGATCCGCGCGCCATTCCGTTTGCATATCGGCTTCGCTGTTTGGTTACCAATACGTATACAAGGCTGTGTGCTTGCTTCTTCTTTCGCTTGCTTCTCCTTTTGCAGTGAATCATATCAATATTGCTTCCTCCAGGCTGAGCTTTGTCTGTCGGCAATCGGCACGCTCACCCGGCCCATCAGCAGCTCACGATGACGATGGCGAAGCTTCTGCTGTGCCCGCTGGCCCTCTGCCTGCTCCTCCCACTGCCGTGCTGCAGCTGCCTGTCGACGTCGGTGGAGGGCTCCCGCGAGAAGCAGCAGATGCGCAAGGCACTCGCACTCCGCAAATCCATCGTGGCACAGGTGGCGGCTGTGTCTGGCGGAGTGCCCAACGGTGCGCTGGAGGGGACGGTGAGTCAGCTGCGGCACGACGTGGACGCCCTCCTCCGACTTGAGGAGTCTCTGTCCGGCCATCTGTCGACTGCACGGGACAGAGTGGCAATCACACCACACGCAGAGGCCGCACAGGCAAACAACCACACCGGCACACGACACGCACCGTTGGCACACACTCTGTGTCTCTGTGTGTGTGTGTGTCAGGCTGTCATGAAGAGCCCCGCCTACCAGAACGCCAAACACGTGCATTCACACCACACCAAATCGATCAGTGACCAGCTCTCATGTGTGTCCCTTTCTTTCTCTCTCTCTCTCTCTCTGTGTGTGTGTGTGTGTGTGTAGATGAAGGAGGCTGCGGAGCGTCAGCACCGTGAGCACATCGAGAGGGAGGCGGACGTCATGGCACAGCACGCGGCCGCACACAGCAGACAAGAGCAACTCGCAAACAAATCGGCAGCCAAACTCTTCTCAGGTACTCACACACACTGACTGACAGACAGACAGACAGACAGACACATCCATTTGTCCATCCATCCATCTGTGAGCACAGAGAAGATGCAGGTCCTTCGCGAGGCGGCGGCAGCGAGAGAGGCGGCATGCGCCAAGGCAGGAAAGGGAGGGGCGCCGGCTGCTGCCCTGCCGACTGAGGCAGACACAGATGAAGAAGAGTGCAATCCATGCACCACTAACGACAACTAACTGAAACGACCGACGACCCAGCCAAGCTCATTCAGTGAAGGAGGTGTGTTGTGTGTGTGGGCGGAGAGGGGAAGAGACGACGCGTGAACTGACAGATGAATGAGTTATCTCCGATGTTCACACGCATTCACGTGAGTGGAAGCATTGATGTATGTATGTCTTCATGGCCTAAAAACACCGATTGGGTGCATAGCTAGCTAGCTGGGTGGATATGTGGAAAAAACTGAGTAAGTCAAAGCCGGCCCTCGAGCAGATTGCCCGACGAGCCAAACAACATGCACATTCATGCAGTCAGGCAGTCAGGCAGCTAGTGGTCTCTTCTTGCCTAACCTCCTCCGCTGAGTGCATTCGCAGCTAGAGGGAGGGAGGGAGGCACATCGAGGGGCAGAGGTGTGGTCTGTCTATGGGTATCCGAACAGCAGTGCCCCATCGACCGGTATGACGTGCCCGTTGATGTATCCTGCATTCTCAGAACTCAGAAAGGCCACCAAATCAGCCACCTGACAAAGAAACAAATATTCACCACAGGTGAACCGAATCCCCCAGCACACAAGCATCCCTCCCTCTGCTGCCGACTGACTGACTGACCTCTGTAGGTGTGCCCATGCGGCCAGCAGGCACCTGCGCCGTCACCTTCTCCTAATGCATTCATCAACGACACACATCCAGGATAAACGAAGACCATGGATACGATACTTGATGCGTCCCTCATTGATGAGTGGCTCACTCACCTTGACATCATCACTGAGGGCATCGGTCATGTCAGTTGCGATGTATCCGGGCGCCACGGCATTGACAGTCACCCCCCTGCCAGCCATCTCCTTTGCCAGCGCCTTGGAGAAGCCGATAACCCCCGCCTTGGCGGCGGCGTAGTTGGCCTGCCCGGGGTTGCCGCCCACACCCACCACAGACGACATGTTGATGATCCTGCCGAACCGCTGCTTGGCCATCGCGCGGATGACGGGCTTGGTGAAGTAAAACACGGAATTGAGGTTCGTATTGATGACGTCCAGCCAGTCGTCTGCACGCACACACGTCGAGTCGACAACAAAGAGAGAGATTGACAGCATCTCCTTTCGCCGTCCTATGCACTGACTGACCATCAGACATGCGCATGAAGAGGCCGTCCTTGGTGATGCCGGCGTTGTTGACGAGTATGTCGACTCGGCCCTGCTCCTTCAGCACCTTCTCACACAGATCCTTGACAGCAGCGACGTCCGCCACATCGCATCCCTCGGCCGACGCGCTGCCGCCCTTGGCAGTGATCGCGTCCACCACGTCCTTGCAGCCCTCAGCCGTCCTCGCCACACACACCACGTGTGCCACACCAGTCCCCCCAAGACGCTCGGCAACGGCACGGCCCAGCCCTCGTGATGCGCCCGTCACGATGGCCACGCGGCCCTCCCCATACTCGAGGAAATTCATGCTGGCGGTCGCTCTGACGCGGTGGACCTGCACAACACACACTCGCAGCAATGAACAGATGCAAGGCTCCAATCTGTGCAGATCTTGCATATCTCCTTTCGCTCACATCTGACGCTGCTCGTGCCCTCAGGCTCCGCAGTGGCATCGGTGCTGCAGTAAAGGCGTTGACCGCAGGGGCTGCTGCCATGAGAAACACCAGCAAGCAAGAGACAAGATCTGAGAAGGAGGCCATTCTGCAGATCGAGCAATGGCTGTCCCCCGCAATAGCGAAGTATGCAGTTTGCCCTCTCTAAGCTCGCAGCTAAGCCGCGCGAGATACCGCATCTTTCGGGAGAAGGCAGTCACATTTCTCATGTCGTCTGGCCGGCACAGCAACGACCGGTCGAGCCGCGAAGGCTCTGAGAGGCTGCTGGGCAGTCGCGAAGGCTCCTCGCCCGACACCTCACCCTCAAGCCGTCCCTCTGGGCAGCCCTCGCCCACGTCAGGCTCTAGCTACACCCTGCTGAGCAACAGAGGCACCTCATCCCCGTCCATCCCCGACCCCGAGATTCGTGCGGCCATCGAGGGCTCTCCCTATCCCCTCACGCTGCCCACAGCCCCGCAGCCAACCGGCAACCATCAGCCTGCAGGCCGGCTGTCATTTAATGTGTCATATCCACAGCGCGGGGGGACCCCGGCAAGCAGTCGCCATGGTTCGAATGACAGTCTGGGCAGCAAGGAGGGCACCCCTCGCAGCACGGCGTCATCGTCGCGGCGCAAGTCCAAGCTGATGTCGACGCGGCAGCCATCGACGGGGTGTAGGGCGTGCTTCATCTGTCTGGAGGACGATTCGTCGGAGGAGCTGGTGGGGTGCTGCAGCCAGTGCTACGCCATGGTGCATCGCCGCTGCTGGCGCGAGTGGCGCAGCAACCAGCGGTTGAACCACATCCGCTCGCGGCTGCTGGGCTATGCGGCCCCGAACCCCTCCCTGTGTACCATATGCAAGACGGGCGTGTCGCGTGTCATTGGCGAGGAGGAGGGCGGCGCGTGGGACGGGTCGTCGCCCGTAGCTGGCGACAGGCGGTCGGCGGAGGCGGCGCTGCAGGATCAGTTCCTCGAGACGCTCAGCCGAGTGCTACGCAACAGCGATGATGACGACGACGACCTGGACGAGCCGCCTTTGTGCGCCGGCCCGACGCCCATCTTCGGTGCGGCGCTCATCTTTTTGGTGATCGTGTTCGACCTCGTGTTCATATCCATGACCAAGGCGTGGGCAGGTGGGTCGATGGACAGATCGATGGATGACAGACAGACAAAGGGAGCTTGCCTCATGTCATCCTCCTTCTGTGTCGAATGAAACACTGATCAGGTGACGTCGTCCTGCTGTCCTTGTTGGCCATCTACGAGTTCTTCGTGATGCAGCTTGTCATCATGGCCATCTACCAACGGCGGACAGCCCTGCAGTCGTTCCTCACCTGGCCCATACCCGAGCCGGAACGACGGGCAGACAGGCAGCGTAGACAGCGGTCGCTGATGCAGTTGTCTGCGCTGCCCGACAGCCCTGGCCGCCGCGGTGGTGATGGTGGTGTGGATGAGAACAGGCGGGCGTTGATGGCCGATGTGGATTTGGAGAGGGGCGCGGACGAGAGGGAACGGGCATGGGGTGACGAAATCATCTCGTGAGAGGCAGGGTGATTGGCGGGGCTGGGCGGGCCGGGATTGCCGATGCTGTGTTTTTGTGTTGTGTCGCGAGAGGCAGGCAGAGAGGGGGGTCGACTGGACTGGACAGAGACATTAGATATGGATCGGATCGGTCATGTGGCCTACCTACATGTCTGCCTGCATCAAACCAAACGGACGCTGCGTGCGTGTGTCGACCAATGTATGTACGTACACAATACACATTTCCCTGCCGCTCTCGTTTGTGTGTGAATCTGACCCTCTCGATCGACAACACGCGTTGCAGCCAACCATGTTTGCTCGACTGACATTAATCGTCGCTCTTCTGCTGGCGCTTTGCAATTGGGTGCCGTCCAGTGCGCTGCTGCCCCTCCGTCCAGTGAGTAACGAGCAGAAACGAGAAGGCACAATGGAAATGACAGCAGACACATGCCGTGGTAAGTGGAGGCTATGCCATCAGCAGGCCATTTCTTGATTCATTGCTTGTCTGTCCTTACCGCTCTCACACACAGCCAAGTGCTGTGAATCCGAGGACTGCGACCAAGGACCGAGAACTGGCAGCGAGTGTGCAGAGGTGAATGTTGCTTGACGGTCTGGTATTCCACCTTCGTTTGACTCGCTCTGCTCAGCTCAACGCTTTCTGCCGGTCTCTGACTTCCCATTGCTTCGCCAAGTCCGGCCGAAATGCGTGGTCAGTCAGCAGATTCAAAATTCTGTCGTCACTCTGCTAGTCACTCTGTCTGTGTCTCTCTGCTGATGTGATGTGTGACTGTCAGCTCACGCAACCGAGACTCTTATTGTGCCTCCTGCAGAGAGAAGGCCAGACAGATCTGCTCATAATCATGACAGACACAGACAGACGCAATGGATGAGTTTGAGTCCATCGGACGAGACACAGACAAAGAGAGCCAGCAACACACATGATTGAGTGACTGCTGATGAATCAGGCTGCACAACACTTCACGGAAATGACCCACATAGCAGACATCTCTTTCTCTTATCCTGCCTTGGCGCTGAGGTCGGCATGGCGCCTGCAGCGACACAAGGCGCAAGAGTGCCGAAGAAAGTGTGTCTCGTCTCGCCAAGCGTACGTACCATGAACAGGTGGTGCAGCGGGGCAGACAATGCACGGCTGAGGAGTCGGTGATGTGGGGAGGCTCGTTGTTCCCAAAGCGACCGTCTCGTCTCTGTTCTCCGGCTGCTCGGGCGGCCAGTGTCTCGTCAAATATCGCGGGCTGGTGAATCTCCCTTTCTTGTGCAGCATGGAGCCAAGACGGCTGCCGATGACGGTGCTCTCGTACCTCGGCAGCCGTGAAATGTCACCGTCCGCCCATATGTCAAACACTTTCATGCGCTCACTTTGGACGTCAGTCCAGTACCAGCCTCGCGATTCCTTCAGTGACTCCCCGTCGCTCTCCGTCGTCGTGCGCTCCTCGATCCCTCTAATGCCTCTCTGCTGGCTGACGGCCTTCGTGGGGCTTGACGGCGGTGTCGGCCTCTTGATAGCGTCGCCCTTGTCACTCGTTTGGATGGCCTCCTTGGGTGACCCAGGTCCTCTAGAGGGAGGGGCAGGGGACGAGATTCCGCTCAATGGATGGACAGGTGAATCCCCCGTGTGATCCGTCTCAGTATCCTCCCTGCAGCTGCCGGCGGCTTTTTTGCACCAAGGGGGCGAAAGAGCCGAGGGGTGGGGTGTGGATGGGGCGCCAGGCCTTTCCAATGCGTCGCAGAGCGCCCTAACGGCATTGCATAGGGCGGTCACTCTCATCTGGTAGTCTGCATGATCGACGCTCGCGGCTGCAGCGACACGAGGCGCAGTAAGGGCGTCCCGTGGGCTGATGTCGTCATGTTCTGTGCCATAAGAGTACGTCTCAGCCGCCTCCCGTTGCTGCGCATCGCCATCTTGCCCATCATACGGTGGTGGGTCTGCACAAGGTCTTGTCCGGTGCCTCAGGAGGGCCTGCTTCAGCGCTGAGGTGTCGAAATCCTCACATCGCAACACCGATCGCATCTCCATGTTGTCGGTCTGTCGTGTCCTCGCCTGTGGAGAGTCCCCCCAGCCGAACCGTGGCAGTGACGCATCAACAGCGGAAAGGGGAGACGGCCGACCGCGGAATGTGAAGACAGGACTGTCCGTGCGGGACTTTGCATTGAGCGTGGGGCTCGCTGTTGCTTCGTTGGAGGGCCGTGCAGCAGACTGAGTTGCCAACCTCGCCTTGGTTGCTGGTGTGCGGGCGGTATGATCCGCTCTCGATGACAGAGTGGTCTTGTTGAGCCTCTTGAGCCGTCTGTTGAGCCGGTCGACAGCAGTGAGTGTCGCAGCCAGCTTGCGAGCCTCAGAAGGGAACACTTGCTCAGTGAAGCTCTTGCACATCCGCATCGTGTCTCCCAGGATTTTGGCCCGAAGGCTCTTGGCTTCCCTCAGGACGCCCTTGGGAGCTGGTGCCCTCAGATACTGACCGCTACTTCTGACGGAGGCGGCTGCTGTTGCACTGTTGGGCCGGATAGTGCTGGCTGTGGACTTTGTCCTGGTCGGCTTCGCCCTTCGTGCCACATTGGCTTTGGTCGATGGTAGGCTTGTACGGGACGGCGCAGAAGGCACTGGCACCTGTCCACAGCGACAAAAGGATGCAAAGCGAAGGCCCTCCTTTGGCAGAGTTCATTTACCTGAGAGAAGAGCGATGCCTTGAGAGGCTCCGCACGATACGGCGGCACCAGCAGCGACGGCATCTTGTACTCTGGAAAGTTCCACATGGACAAGCTGCTCAGCCTCTCAAAGAAGCGATCCTCATCAACAGAACTCATTGGCAGGACGGCAGAAGATGCTGGCACCTCATTGTCTGTCTTGGCTCCACCCATGACGTCCTCCGGGCTTGAGGGCCGCGACTCAGCAGCCAAACCCATCGGCACCGGCTCTGGAACATTGGTGTCGCCCTTCTTCACCTTGCCCTTCCTTCTCGCGCCTGCCGAGGCTGACGACGATGGCAAAGGCAGCTTCTTCAGAGCTGCGCCGGCGGGTGGCCTCTGCTGATCGGAGGCAAGTCCTCTGGCGGTGGGCGCCGATGACCGGCTCCTCCTTCGCATAAGCGTTTCGGGCTCAGTCGTGTCCCCTTTTCTCTCGGTGCTGGCAGTCGATCTGTCGGCAATGGACGGCCCTGCTGCAGCCGACGTGGGATCCTTCCTTTCAGCCTGTTGTTCCACGGCAAGTGGGCCCGTCGGTGAAGGGAGGAGATCTAGAAGGAGGGGAACAGGTAGCCTGAGCTGAGAAACTGGTGGGGGCTTCCCAGCTGGTCCACTGACGTCTGCTGTCGACGTCACTCGATGAGGCGGAGCAGAGGGAGACCGGCGGACATGCAAACTGAAATCGGGAGAGAGAGAGCCATTGCAGTTGGGTGAAGGGCCTTGTGGCACCCTCACCTTTTGATCGTTGGTTGCGCTGGGGCACCGGGATGCGGCGGTGGTCTTCGGCCCTTCCTCATTCCTCTGAGACGCGGTGAGACAAACTCCCGGCCCCGACGGGCCTTGCCTTTGCAGATGCGTCGCTAAGTCTATACCAAGCGCCGGCCGTACAAATGAATGCCCGAGGGAAGAAGAAGGAGAGCAAAACTGACGGATCGCTAGTTTAGCTCGCAAGCTTTCCACCGCTGCTGCCGACGCCAGAGGGGCAGTCAGCGATGGGCAAAGCGAAGAAGAAGAAGGCCAAGACGCACAGGGTGTCCCCATACGGCGAAGCTGGAGAGATGAGAGACGAGGACGACGATATAGTGGTGCGCCTGGACAGGCACTGTCATTCGCACAACACGCCAGCTCTTCCCCCCTGTGTCTGGATGGATGGATGAATGCAGATGTGTGGTGGCGACACACCCGACGCCACAAACATACGCGGCAAGAAAGAGGCAAGCAGCAGGAAAACCGACAACAGCGTCGCCACCAACCAGCAGGACGCGACGCCTTCCAAGGAGCCCGACGAGGAACCAGAGAAGAGCGCCAGCCGACGCTCAGTCATCCAGGTGAGAACCACTGGCACCGCCTGGAAACGGTCTCTCAGTCGTGGATGGCATCTTGTCTGTGTGTGCAGCGTCAGCATCAGGAGTGGAAGGCCATGAAGTCTCAGGTGGCCAAGCTCAAGAAGGAGAAGAAGAAGCTGCGCAAGCGCGTGGCCAGCGAGAGGGAGCGGAAGAAGACCATCAATAAGAAGATCAAGGAGCTGCTTCAGACGACACGGAAGCGGCATGACAGGGAGCTGGCGGCCATGGGTTTGGGACCAGCCAGCCACCCAGAAGAGGACGATGAGCGCATGATGGACGATGACGACTGACTGATGGGGGCCAAAGGGCAGGAGGATAGCAGGGTTGTGCAGAGCGGTTGTGGTGTGTCTGTGGTGGGTGAATAAACATCGGACCGATGTGCGTGCTGTGCTGTATCATTTAATGGCATTGCATTGAGAGCGGCAAATATGTCTGTCTGCTGGTCCGCTTCACTGACATCTCACTCCAGCACAAATTATCAACCAACAGTCATCATCCCACTGGCCACACATCGATGAACCCGTGTGTCAACCCATCTCCCTGGGCCGCCACCTCTTGCCCTTTTCCATCCACTTGCGTGTGTGTGTTTCATCGTCTTCCACCTCGCTCTCCCCCTCCCACCCTCCCTCCTCCCTCTCAGGCATCTCCTTGAGCTTCCCTCGCTTAAACGCGTCACTCAGCCTCTGCGTGTGGGGCCACAGGTCGGTCGTGCTGTAGTGCACGACGTGATGGAACTGCTTCTGAAGGGGCAGGGAGACGCCGTCGGATGCCTCGCCGCTGAAGAGCTCCTCTACAGGCGTCAGCTCGGTGGGCGGCAGCTCGAGCATCTCGGTGTCGTGATCGATCGACCAGGGAGCCATGATATAGTAGATGCCTCTCTTCAACGACTCCTCTGGTGCGACGGGCAAGGATGAGAATGAGTGTCACATGCGCTGCGTCGTGTGTGTACCTCCTGTGGCGGCCTTCTTCAGCGTGCCTTTCGCCTTGGCCAGGTGGGGAGCAGACAGGGCAACAAAGTGGGACAGTGCACACACTGACCGGCCCACGATGACATCGAAACGGGCCCGCTCGTCCAGCTTCTCTATTGACACATTGGTCACCGTGACGTTGGCCAGCCCTGCAGCACACACTACACGATAGTGACTGCCTGCCTATGCGTCTTCTCCTCCATCCTTCTTACGCAGGGGATGTATGACTTTGTTGAGCACTTGGGATGCGAAGAGTGAGGCGTCGATGCAGTGCACTCGAAGCTCAGGATACACTATGGCCAGCGGTATGCCTGGGAAGCCACAGCCACTACCTGCAAACAGCACCCCGGCCATCCAGGCAGTCAGGCAGACAGGACAGCACGCCAGGACGCCAGGACGCCTTCATCTCACCTACGTCCAATAGAGTGACGGGCGGCTTCCTGCCCACAAACTGCTGCAAGTTCATGGCTCGTGTCAGGGCCAGCGACAGCAGCAGATGCCGTGTTTCGAGCCTCCTGAGGTCAGCCGGACTCATAGACGGCTTGCCCTGCTCCTTCAGCTGCGCATTCACCTCCCGCACTCGGCTGCAGAAGAGCTCCAGACGCGGCCAATCCCAGCTGTAGCTCTCACCAACTGACAACAGACAGACAGACACAGGTCCACTGGTTGTGACAGTGAGGTGTGCGACGTTTCTGCCTCTGTCTGTGGCTCACAGAAGTGACGCACGAAGTCCAGGTGTCGTCTGCTGCTCTCCAGCGCGTCTGTTGAGGCAACATCCCTTCTCCGCTGCCGTGCTGTCACTGTCTGCCGGAGCCTCTGTCGCCACTCATCGGCATCGACACTGGATCTTGCTGCGGTGTCGGAGCTGTCAGACGAGCTTGAGGCAGCGAAGCCGCGGCAGCTTGACAGTCGAATGAGGGGATGAGGGATGGCGCCTAGAGATAGAGGCGCCTGGGCGGGACGAGCACGACGGAGCAATGGCATTCAGGACGACGGCGCATCGGTAACAGAACAAGACGAACAAGCGTTGCTTTCGATAGATCTGCAGATGCGCATGGCGCTGCAGTTATCCCTGGGAAGAGCCCCGCGGATGCATACTCCGACAACGTCCATGGCTGCACTCCACAGACCCAGGTGCACTCAATGTATACGGCTCTATCTCGTTTGTTATGAGCGTGTGTGATGCGTCCCATACCTCCAACGCGCTCCTGAATCGCTCTTTTCTCTTCTTCAATCCTTCGAACGTCTGAGCTCGCAGCAGATCTCTCTGAGGGCTGCGTGGTCCGTGTATTTGCAACTAGATGCAGACATAGATCTCTCATCGCCTGTGAGTTGTTGGCAGCGATCTCTCTCCTCCCCTCCCGGTGGCTCTCCACTCGGTTCAACATGACCGCGGCACACTCACTGCCATCGCACGGCCGCGGCCACCGAAGGCTGCCCGCCACTGGATCTGAACTCGTCCAATCCCTATGGACAACTTGATGAAGCCGCGTGCTGAGCCAGAAGAGGAAGCTGAGCCGTCAAACCACGAAAAAGTGGATATCCCTCACAAGTTCATGACGATGAGCAGCCTGTGGAAGAAGGGCGAGAGCTTCAACTGGCTGTTCTTTCCGACTCGAGTGGGCCTTTTTGGGCCGCCAGACAGCATCCTTCACCTGCGGCAGAAGGTAGCTCACGGACGCGCACACGCGCACAGGTCACAGGATGCGTACTGTACGTGTGCCTGGCTGCAGCTACTGGCATCTCTCCAGGAGAGCTTCCCATGGCTTCGCCTCAGCGTTGAGGACCTGATGGTCGATGTGACGAGCGTGGCCGAGTACAATGAGAGGGGAAACGCACCAGACAACCGCATCACCGTCACGTCGCTCATACGTGGGTGCATCAGGCACAGAGGGAGGGAGGGAGTGGCTGGTCAGTCAAGTGATTCTCTCTCTCTCTCTCTCTCTGTGTGTGTGTGTGTCTGTGTCTGTGTCTGTGTGTGTAGAAGCACCCACAATCGTGGACATCAGAACAGGTGGCCGTTTTGTGTACACAGAGGCATGTTCATGTTCGTCTACGGCCTGTTTGTCTGTCTACGGCTGTGTGTGTGCAGAGCGCCTCAGTGCCTCAGTGTCCTCGGCTGTGAGGGATGAAACTGAAGAACACCGACGGCTCGATTCAGCCGGAAGGATAGCTCGTGTGCCGAGGAATGGAATGAGCATGGCAGGAGAATGAAGGCCAGTAGTACTGGCGGCGTGTCTTGTCTTCCGTGTGTAAATAAGGAGGCATGCGTTTCCTATGTTGATTTCTGTGGCTCTAGAGGGGAGTCGGTGACTTTCGTGGACTCATGATCTAGTGTCTTTGTCTTGGTCCGGAAGTTAGTTTATTCTGAGAGCATATGATGGATGCCAAGACCAACCACTCAGTCATCAATCAAACATGCCAACCCAGCTGTCTGTCTAGAGAGACATCGTATCTATCGGCACCCCGCCCTCAATCCATCTATCTATGGATCCGTCCGATCCATGCAGGTAGGCAGGCAGGGGCCAGAGGCTCAGCAGGCATGAGACATCAAACGTAGCAGCTATGCTGCTCCCTCACACAGCCAGTTATGCGAACGCTCAAATACACATCGAGAGATCAAACACAAATACAAAAAGAGAGGACACAGTTGACCAAGAAAACAGATCGGACAGATATGGAGGGGGCGAAGTCTGCCTGGGAGCCACGAGACATTCATGCAGCCCGCAAGCCAGACGTCGGTCAACACAACGATCCATGCAAAGCTGTAACAGCAGCAAACAGGCAGGCTGTCTTGAATCCATCCATTGTACGATCGATACATACGTTCACGTAGCCGTACGGTGATATGATTCAAAGCAGCCAGCAAGACTCTCAGCACCCGATGGGGCCAAGAAAAGTGACACGCACACACACACGGGGAGAGAGAGAGAAGAAGATAATGGCTGTATTGGCAGGTGCAGACAAACATACGGTTCCACAAAGCATGCAGCCAAGGCAGAGGTCGGAAATGAAGCAAGGCAGGACTCAATCAACCATAGGTTCGTGCATGAGTATATATGTCCACATGCACAGACACCGACAGACAAAGATCCCTAGCACGGACGAGCCACCGATGCCAACATGACACGCCACGCCCGCTCGCAAACCCATCCACCACCCACTCGCCGCACATTTCACATTCACGCAGCCCCCGAGCAATGGCTGTCAGTGCGTCTCAACTTACTGGCTGGCACATCCCACCTTCACGCGGCGACCACAGCTTAAAGGCTGTCTGTCGGCTACACACGCGCCCGTGAGGCCGATTCATCAGCCAGCCGCACGGCCCATCCATCAGAGTTCACGCCTGCACCAAAGGATGGTGAGATGCGCGCCCCCTGACGGCAGACTCATGCACAGACAACACCGCAGCAAAACCCTTGCCCAGAACAACCACACATACATGCGGTAGTCAGTCGTGGAGAAGAGAAGCCAGCCACGAAGGAAGAAATGAGACATTCATTCACGTCCACTCCACGGCCAGAAACTCGTGTCTCAATCAGTCAGTGTGCCTGGCTGTACTGACGGTGAGAGGCCCTGCTCACTGTGAGCAGAGGCCTCTGTCAATTCGATATTCATGCACGTGTACGCAAACAAGGAAAAAGATCCCATACACAGAGACGATCGGGAGAAGATTCGGAGAGCCTAAGCCGGATGGAAAGGGGTTCATTCGCAGCCAGCTATTCCCTCACCCACCCACCTACGCACCCACCCCTCCCACATTCCCCTCGGAGCGAAGAGCAAGCGAAAGACGTGCCCAAAACGGAAGGAGCACGTTGCAAATTCCATGAGGCCCTAACCACCCACATCAGGCACGATGCCGTGCATATACACATGTGTGCACTTTGTGTGTGCAGTGGACCCACGATTGATTGACCATGCCAGAGAGGGAAGGAGACAGAGGGGGGGGGGTGTGTACGGACGAGAAGAACTTCTAGATGTAGCAAGACACGATTGACCAAAGAGACAGAGCCTAGCGACGAAGACGAGCCTAACACGGAGTGAGAGGGGTTCATTCGCAGCCAGCTTTTCACTCACTCACTCACACACCCACACACCCGACAAAGCAGGAAGGAGTCAAGCACTCAGTCGGCCAGTCAGTCAGCCAGAAGATATATCACACCCAGTGATAGGTGCAGTGCACCATACCAGCCAAGCCAACCAGAGAGGGACGCACTCGTGAAGGAAGAGGACAGCCCTACATGCACACAGTGAGAAGGGGACATACACAGAGAGATTTATGATAGGCGCCCATCAAGTTTGGTGCACAAAGAGACATCCACTCCCACCTATGATGTTGCTGTGAGGGAGTCGGAGCTGCCGCTTGCTGCAGTCGTGTTTGTCTGCTGGTGCTGGAGCTGCGCACATTCATTCACACACACATCACTACACACACACATGACCACACGCATAGCCACCTACCGGCGTCGACGGCTTGTTGTTGTCTCGAATGGTTATGGAAATTGACATCTCCCCCTACACAAATACGTGGGAGAGACATATGTATGTGTAAATGACTATGTATATGCCTTTCTGTCTATCTCTGTGTCTGTCTGTCTGTTTGTCTGCTCGCTCCCGTACCTTGGCTGTGTTCTGGGTCGCCGAAGCGGTGATGATGTTGTCGAGGCCGACTCGCTCGGCCACCGTCGCGACAACTGCGGCCTGCATATTGGAAGGAATGGTTGCAGGATGCCATCGAACGAGCGAATGAATGGTGTTTTAGTCGTGCTATGTCGATCTGTGCAAGCGTGTATACCAGGTTCTCTTTGGGTGTGAGGTCTATGTCAGTGATGACCTTCTGCAGTTCCTCAAACCACTCCAAGGCCTTGGCAGGCCACTGTAGAGAGACAAACAGACGGGCAGGAGGGAGAGAGACAGACAGACAATGAGACAGACAGACAGGCAGTTGGAAATACAGAAGAATGTGCATGGGCGCTGGCTCTGTGTTTCAATGCTTACGTGATAGCCCCAAGAGGTCTGCAGAGTCTTGAGACGGAACACGGCTGCCTGCAAAAGGAAACACACACAGAGAGAAGAAGGACAATACATGGACGTGTCTGAGCTTGTCGATATGTATCCGTGCACATAGACAGACAGACAAACAGACCGACAGACAGTCACGTATACACCCACCAGCTGCTCCTTAATCTGTGTGTAGATCTTGAAGGCTTCCAACATGTCTCCACCCTTACAGGCCGTCTTGAACTGCGACAAATCGTCCATCCAGAGACATACACATACATCACAACAATCATGAGATCGGATTCATGAAAGTAGCCTTCGCTCCCTCCTCCCCC